TTTTCAAATATATATATATATATATATATATATATATAGCCTCAACTCGTTGCAGCATAGCCCATTCTCCTCCTTTCCTCTTCTCCTCTTAAAGGGGATTGAGCTTCCCCTTCTTTGAGCGATTAGGCACAGGATCTCCACTCCAACACTGCACACACACGCCGCCGCCTCCTCCCTTTACATGCGAGCACAACGTCATGCTTCTTCGGCTAGGGCTTGGTGTTGTTTCTCAGGTACGTGAAGACACACACGATTCCTCTTGTTTTTCCTCTTTTTCTTCTCCTTCGCCTTTTTCCTCCGCTGACAGACAAGCCACAAACTAGGGTTGGAAATGGCCCCTCCTTTCTTCCTTCTCCTCCGAGGCATTGCTTTTTCTTCTTCGCTTGGCTAGGGCACAACCTCCTCTTCTTTCTCTTACTCCCAGTCTCTCTTTCTCGCTAGATACGAATGAAAGACGACCCCTCTTGACATCTGATAACCGAACCGCTTGATGTTTATTACAAATCAATTTCTATTTATTTATTTCATTTATTAAACATTCCATCATCTCTTTTGCACCACTCTCATTTATATCGAGGGTAGAACCAATTGGCTTTATTCCCATGTTTATTATTCTTGCACGTATTACTCCATTAGTGACACAACTTAGCTTAATTTGTGATGTTTTGTGTGTTGATGATATTGATTTTGTTTCTTATTGATCAAGACACTTCATTTCCCTCTTCTCGTTCTGCTTCACCCATAGACGAGGTTCAATTCTCTTTGGCCCTTATGACCATGGGGCCCGCACACATAGGGAGTGTTCATCACTTAAACTTTGTGCATCACACATGTCTACGCTTTGCATCATTCCTATGTATTTACCTCCCATCACACCTGCCGTTCTACTTTGTGAGGGGTTTGACAATCAATCTTGATTCATTTACCTAACCAAATCTCTCATTCAACTAGAGTTGCGGCTTTATGTCCTTCCCACTTGGGAATTGATTTTTTCCCCTTAGTAAATTTCTTATTTCCTTGCGAAAAATTCGTGCCACTTGTGTCCTCATACATTTTGAGCAGTGCATGTAGGCTCTACCACTTGATTTCTTACAAAATAAAGGATTTCATAAAATCGTTCTCATCATCTTCATATGGTGTGGAAAATGTGCTACAAACTTCAGGAATTTTTTAAGTTGACATTTCAAAACTTTTGAATATTGCTAGAATTTTTTTTTCTTTTTACTTTGTTATAGTCAACAGTTTATTATGTGATACTAAAAGAATTGACATCTCAAATTCTGTTGAAGGAAAGTCTAATTTGATGACATTTCTGTGGTTATGATAATAGACCTTATTTTAAATGATAAAATACCTTCAAAACGTAGGAAAATAACAAACAACTATTACTTAAGAAAATGACACAGCGACTTGATAAAGACAACTAATGACTTTAATGGCACGCGTGATGTTACCACCATGTCTGATAACTTGGTACAATCTTGTTGATGGCCTCTCATCAAATCTATTAACTGGTCAGTCCACTGCTATTTTCAGTCTATTGTTATGCATGTTTAATAATGATGTATTCTTCTACTTATGTTTGTAAATATCGTTGAATGGTTAGTATGGCAATTGTCTGCTAGATTGTAACCAAAATGTCACCGTTGCATTTGTAACATTACAAACTGGTTTGTCGCTTTATTGATGGAATGGGAGATGCGAAATATTATTCAGTCATGGAATGCTATTTTTTGACCTGAATCGACTTTAGATATTTATATGCTTTACAGGATATCACCAAATCTATCACGACGGAGATATGCAAATCATTGAAGAAGAAGCGTGATTTGTTTTCTGGCCTGAAATTGAAGCAAGAAGTTCTTACTTGTACGTCTTCTATACTTATTTTAAATTGTTGATTCCGGTCATTTTGATTTTGAAGGCACGTCAGCCTGTAACTAAGGAATGGAATTGTTTAGGAACTTGGTACTCATTGATTTCAGACATTGTTTGGTAACTCTTTTTCTCTTCTTTCAGCATTTTTTTTGATGTTATATCTTAATTGAGCTATAATGATACAGAGCCGGGCAGCTGAGTGGAAGATTAGGATGTTTTTTGTTCTTTTGAGAAAGGGATATATAAATACATCATAAAGGAAAATTAAGGAGATAAGGAGAGGAAAATGATTAGAAAATTAGATGAATGGACACCTCGAAGGGGGAGAAAGAATCCCAAAGGTGACGCGGGGCTCTGGGAGGATTGGCCGGTCTTCAAGGGTGGTGGGCGCTGATGACCCGTCCTTCCTTTTCTTCCTTTCTTTCCTCTTTTCCTTCCTTTCCTCCTTCCTCCCCCTTCCCTTTTCTTCCTCCCGCTTTCCTTTTCTTCCTCCCCTTTCTTTCCTCACCTTTCCTTTCTCTCCCACTCAGCTTTCCTTCCTTAGAACTTTACTATTTTAAATCATTTTCTAAAACTTGAAATTCTAATTTTATTCTCCTTTCTTATTTTAAATCCCTTTCCTAAAATCTGTAATATCTTCTTTTTATTCTTTCTTATTTTAAAAGGCTTTTCTAAAATCTGAAATCTCTTTTTATTCTTCTTTTTTGAAAAGCCTTCTTTTTATTCTTTTTTGAAAGTTTTTTCAAAATTTGAAATTCTTCGAAAAATAGGTCTTCAAGAATTTAATTCTCCTTTCTTATTCTGAAAATTTTTTCAAAATTTGAAATTCTTCGAAAAATAGGTCAAGTTTCTTTATAAATAGGAGGTGTTGTGCTTTGAGTTTGAGGTTTTATTTTTAATATCTAAAATCAGTTTTTTGCATTGATATTTTCTCATTCGAGGGTTGTATCCTACGTCGAGGTAGTGCTACGGCTGTTCCTCGTCCGAGGTGGTGATCATTTCCATGGGTCCGAGTGGTGCTCTGATTATAACTTGATTCCAATGAGATATTAATCTATCCTTCCACCCTTCATGCTGCTGTCCACCGGCTTCTCAACCCTACAACAGGCCACCACACTTCATCTCCAACAACCGCCGGCTGGTGTCCTCCCTCCAACCCGCTGCCAGCTTTCTTCCAGCATGGTTGCAACTCGCCACACTCCATTCCAACATTCAGCCGCTCTTCCTGAACAACCAATCTTGTTGTCCCCCTGCTCAGAATTTCTCCAACACTTAGCCGACCCACTTCCAGCAGTCTACCTTGGTGTCCGTACCATTCCCATTCTTGCTAGCGCTTCATCGCTCGTTGTCCACCCTTCGAAAATGCTAACGAATTTTCCCTGCTGCTGCCTAACCTTCTCAGCTTGTCACCTCATCTTCCAACCTACCTCTCAGCCACCCAACAAACCTTCCCACCACCTTAATCTATTGTCTCCCTCCTGCAGTGCACCTTGCAACCTTTGTCAGCTCCTCTTCTGCATTCACACATGTTTTCCATAAGCCTTTAGATCTACCGGGTCAACTTCTGCTGCCCTTGTGATACACTTTACAGGTGTTGGCTTATGTCTTGTGTTTTTTTGTCATTTATTTCATGTTTTGAAGAGTCGTTGCAATCGATTTCAAAATTCAATAATAATATTTGTGTTTTTTCTGTGGTTTATGGTTTCATTTGGTATCAGAGCTAGCTCAACTCTAGTCCTATCCTATTGTTTCTAGCATCCTCTCCTACACAATTCACCACACCAAATTTTTTTTGTTCTTTATTTAATTCCAATATCTAAAGTTCTTTTCAGAATTTTACATGGTATCAGAGCCGCCAACCTAATTCATTTGTGTTCTCAACCACAATCCTGTTCCTTAGTCTCTGCTTGCCTCTACCATCCTCTAAATCATTGAGGTCAAAGTCGAGACCTTCTATGCATCTCTACGGGTTCTCTACGTCTCTAGCTACATCTTTAGCGATGTCTTCAGGGTTGTATTCAACGACGACTTCAAACCAAGCTTGCTCGCCACTTGGACGACAACAAATCTCTTGGATTCTTTGACATTGTCTTCAACATATCCAACGACTACTGCGAACCAACCTCCAACCTGTTCTCTTTGCTTGAATAGACACCGTAAGCTTTGCGATCAATCTCTTATGTTCAAACACTGCGAAACTTCTTGCAAGCAACGATATAATGATTCTACTCCCACTCTACTTCGTTTCCTCATGTGAGCAGATGATTACAGTACTCTGTAGTTTGGATCTTCCACTCGATCAAAATGTCATTCTGTCATTCTTCTCTTCCACTCGACCACAACTCTTCCGCTCGACCAGTTCGAGCATATTGCACTTCCTCTATGCTTATTGCAATTGATTATGCTTGTTAAACTCATGAAAATAAAGAATTGTACTCCTCTCATTAGTTCTTGTTTGCTCGTCCAGCCAAGTAGTTCTACTAGGGCTGATATTGGAGTTAACCCAAGCCACAATAGGAAAAACAAATATTATTTTTGAAAATCAGTAGACGGTTACAACCAGCACACTTGAAAGGAAAAATACAACACGACACCTGAAAATCTGAAATAACCAAATATTCAAACTAAGGTGGATCTTGGGGTGTTGGGGGTAATTGACGAGGGTTTCGACAGATGGTAGCAAAGAGATAGGTGGGCTGGACCATGAAAGCACAGGGGCAAGGGGCGTTTTTGAGTGGCGGGAACAACATATTATTGCAGGGGAATTGCTGGAACAATAGTTAGGCTGCAGGGATGTGGTTAAGTGGCTGGAACAACAGTGGATAGAAGGGAGGGAGGGAAAACATGGCTGCTTCGGGGCTGGATGGCAGGGAACATCGGTAAAAACAATGGCTGCACTGTTGCTTGGGGAAGGAAGCTAGAGGACATTGAACTGGATCATAGGGAAGTGATATAGAAAGGTTCAATCCTTTTTGTGGTATCAGGGAGCCAGTTGCGGGACTCCCAAGATTGTTGGGATCCTTTTGCGATTGCACTTTTCTTTTCTTTCCTTTTTTCAAAATTTCTTCTTTTAATTTTTCCTTTATAGTTCTTACCTATTTCCCTAATTTCTAATTAGATATTTGTTATGAGAGGACATATATGTTGTATTTGGTTTTGGTTTTTTAGTTTTGGTTGACGTTTCTGAAATTGAGACTTTTCTCAGAATTTTAAGTTCATCATTTCGCAAGTGTTGCGTCTGTAGCGTGCCTAGGAATTGATGGTGGATCCCGTCAACATCATCATCTCACCAATTCGTAGTTCATCAGCTGATTTTCCTCTACAGCTGCTGGTTACAGCAGAATTTTCCAACTTCATCACCCCGTTTTGCTGTCCAGCCTCCCGAACCTTGCCGAACTGCCGCTGGGTTTCTGCTATCAGTCTGGCTAGAGGTCCCTCTTGCCCAAGCTGCTGTTTATAACCAGAAAATGCCCCGTTTCTTCTTCAGGTTTGTCATCCCACACCATTCACATCGTTTTTTTGCTGCCCTCCAATCCCCACTCACATAAGCAATCATACAACTTTTTCCAACACTTTTTGCGCTTTATCATACCGTCGAAGAACCTTATAACAGTTTCATTTGATATCAAGAGTTAGCCAGAGCTAGGATGAATCTCAATTGGGAGAACGAGACATTATGCTACCAAGGAGAATCATCAATGTGGTGCTCAAGAAATTATTATGGAGGATATGTAGTGAGAAATCCTTTAATTGAAGCTGAGGCTCGCTGAAAAGAAGATAGTATGGGGAAGTGACCCAACAGCAACGATGACCATCCAGTTAAAAGAGATGATGAAAACACTTTCTACCAAGAAATTTCAAGTGATAAAGAGCCGATGCTACATCAATTTGGCATTGATTGTAGGAGAGAAACTGATTTTGGAATCAATTTGGACCTACCGGGATTCACGAAGCTATGAGATTTTTTAATGGTCAGAATAAGCTAAGGGGTATACACACCTCATGGGTGGAATTTCCTTCTTCATTTCAAACATAAGGCAAGTAGTCAGAATAAAGTAGTTGTTGCACTGAGTCTCGCCACATATCACTCACGACGATGATGTTTAAGATCATTAGTTTTGAAGTGTTGAAGGTTTTGTATGCGACTGATGAGATTTTTCTAGATATTTGGATCCAGTGTCAAGGTAGGTTGTACGAGCAATATCACTGATCTGGTGGATCTTTTTTTTTCCAGAATAAACTATGCATTTCTTGTAGCTCACTCAGAGAATATTTTACAAGAGTGTCACAGTGGAGGGATGGTCAAACATTTTGGTAGAGACAATACATTCCTCTTAATGAAGAACTTTTGTTGGCGCCCAGATTGGTATGAGATTTGAGGAGGCACGTCAAACAGTGTAGGGTATGTTACTGGCTAAGACTTGAGGATAGAATACCAGGTTCTGCGCTCTCTTTCATATCTCGAAGGCACCCTGGTTGGACATAAGCATGGACTTTGTAGTGTGCTTACCCAGGACACAATGGAGTAAAGATTCTGTTATGGTAGTGATAGATTATTTCTCCAAGATAGCCCATTTTGTACGTTATCACAAAACAACGTATGTGTCAAATATTGCAGACTTATGCTTCAAGAAGGTAATTCATCTTCATGGCATTCCGAGGAGCGTTACATCAGATAGAATTGTGAAATTTCTCAATCACTGTTGGAGGATTTTATGGGGCAAGTTAGGTACGAAGCTTCAATTTAGCAACTTACCCTCAGACAAATGGACAAACAAAAGAACATTAAGCAGTGGGATTTGATTCCTCCTAAGGTGGAATTTGCTTATAATCATTCTACGAATCAGTCCACAGGCGATAGGTCATTTGAGATTTTGTACAACGGAACCCTCTTATGCCTTTACAGTTGGCTTTTTTATTCCCTGCTATTAAGCTTAGCACTAATGTTGAGGTTCGAGTCAAGGATATTCAGATCTAATAAGAGTAGGTCAGGAAAGAAATTGCTAAAAAAAAATACCAAGTACTAAAAATAGGCCAACAAGTCCTGTAAAGCTATATTTTTCAAGGACTCGCAAGTGGTGCATCTATAGCTTGCCTAGAAACTAGTGGTGGATCTCCCTCGATGCCATTACCTCGCAGATTCGTAGTTCGTCCACTGATTTTCCATCGAATTGCCATCAAACACATTTCCAACTGCTGGTTACAGTTGAAATTTACAACTTCATCACCTCTAGTTCACTGTCCAGCTTCCCGAATCTTCCGAGCTGCAGTTGGGTTGCTGTTTTTTGCCCGACCAGAAGTCCCTCTTGCCCCAATTGCCAAACGGAAACCACCCCGTTTCTACTTTTGGTTTGCTGTCTCATCGTCGTTCACATCAGTTTTCAGTGCCCTCCAACCTCTGCACTCACGTAATCAATCATACCACTTTATCCACCACGTTTTAAGCTTTCTTTCACCATCGAGAAATCCTTGAATGGCATCAATTTTATAGAAAGAATTCTTAGGGCTCAGTTCAAGCATTGAGTTATCTCACTTTTATGAAACTACAAGTATGCTGATGTTGATTTTTGACCAATTCAAGGAACATGCTACAACATCTATGGATAGATCCATTATCTAATGCAACTGTTGATGTCATCCAAGGTCGTCGATCAATTGAGGTCTGTTTAGTGTGAGTTACTTAAGGAGAAATTGTGCACTATAAGAACAATGTTACACCAATAGATTATGTTTTACTCATCGGGCACTTTTTGGAAAAGGACGAGGGTACTGAAGCTCTCTTAAAACCACTTGAGTTAAAAAGGGTGCACCAGGAATCAATTGGTGGGAAAGAATTGCTAATTAAATGGAAATGATTGCTAGATTACGACGTGGTAGTCATACGACTTGATCCAGTAGCAGTTTCTTCTCTTGCAATTTGAGGATGATGTATTTTTTTGGGAGGGGTAATATTAGACCGGTGTCTACGGTGTCGTCCCCATCGTGCTCCATTGAGTCGATACCAAGTCCGCCAAATAATTTGAAGACTTGTGTTAGATGCATGACTAAAAGGACAATTTTGTCATTTGTTGGCTATTATTGTGGTGTATAAATAAAGCTTAATATAATTTGCATTAGGTTATGTGTGATTGTCGTCTTGCATTTTAGGGTTACAGTTTAGGAGAGAATAGCCCATCTTTTGAAATATAGATATTTATCTTTTATGTATTTGTGATTGTATCATTTTGATTTGGCACTGATGGAATAAAATCTATTATTTTGGCCTAATATTTATGGAAACTTGTCTCGTTCTACTTGATGTTTTTGATTTGCCTAATTATCCCATTAGTTAATTATCATAGTAATATCTCACCCCAAAAGTGTGAACATCAAGTTATCGATGCCGAAAGTTATAATGTAGATTTTCAGCTATGATTCCATTATTTTGTTTTGTTATTTGTTTTCTGTTTATGAGAACAGCTTCATATAAATAGTCTAACTGTGATCTTTGGTTTGCGTGTACTGATTCATTTTGTTTAATTTTAATTCCAATTTCAGCTTCACGATCATTCTGTTCACTCAATTGCGCTTTATGCTTAGGCTTCATTTAATCGCTGCAATAATTCATTGTTCAGCTGCAATTTGGTAAATAAATATAGTTATTTATCTTCTGATGTTTTGTTTTTTTAACAATTTTTTAACCTTTCAGGCCTGTTTGATCAGATAATACATTCCCGTGACAACATAGACATAGTCGAGTTACTCAGACACCTTCATCCTAAGGTTTAGATGGATGGTTTTATGACTAAATAATCTTATATTTTTATTTTACTTATTAGTAGTTTTTTTGTCTACTTCTAGATAATGTTAGGTATACCCTTGTTGGAAGGAACCAACCCAGCCTCTTGTTTACCTCGCTCAGCAATTTGCTATGACGCTACTTGCTATAGCCAAATTTGGAGTGAGGTTAGTCATGCATCTTTTTGTGTTAGCATGATATTATTCTGTGGATGCATTATAGAGGTTAATATTCAATCTATTGCAGGTTTTTGCTGCTGATTTATTTGCTACAAAATTTCAAGATGATTTGTTAAACCTGCATGCAGGTCTACAATTCAAAAAGAAGGTTACCACTGTTTATTTATTTTGCCTCCTAGAAAACTGCTTTTTTTTCGCTTTTTTACATTCATGTTTGAGAAGTTAGCTTGTGCAAAACTTTTCTATGAATCCTGATGAACCAATCTATATTTTTGATGCAGTGTCATTTGAATCATTAAAATTGACACTGCAAAATTTATATGCGTGGACCCCAATTTTTATCGCAAGAATCAATGTCACCATATATTTCCACTTTCTATGATCGATCTACTTTTTGTTTAAAGCATAATTTTATGACAAGTATATTATATGAGCATGAAAAGGATAATTAATAATAATTTTTAGAAAAAACTACGTAAGAGAAAATGAAGATATCATGGAATACTAAGTTAATTGACCCCCTGGCTTAAAGCTTGGTGAAAAGGTGGGATTGATGATGACTTCTTTCTTTTTACGACTCCATTTGTTGAAAAGGACAGAGCTATATGCTGCCACATTGTCACTTTGAATTCTATCATCTGAATCAATAAGTTGCAAAGAACTTTTAAAGGAGGAGCATCAATATCAACATTAATTGTAGGGGATACAGATGTTGAAGTCAAAGGAATAGTAAGGGAAATCAAACTAGATATAGCTTCCAAAGAATCAAATTGTCTTAGAATTTGAGAACAAACTTCCTCTATTGAGAGAGTGATAGTCTTTGAAAGAGAAGTGGAGGTATAAACATTTGAATGAATTTCATGATTTTGATTTTTCTTTTTTTTTTTCCCTTAGTTCTTAGATATACCTTGAGGCAAGCAGAGTGTGGCCAAAGATCTTACAGAAAGAGCAGTATTAATGCTCGTCTTCAAATTCAATATTTGGAATAGCCACAAATTGGTTCTTGTATTCAAATTCAATATTTGCAATAGCCACAGGAAAATTTAACAATTTGTGCCTCTTCAATTGGTACCTCATGAAAAGGAAAGGTAACATCTATTTCCACCAGGAGTCTGGTAACAGAAGACCTAGGACGGTTGGGAGCAATGCCAATTTGCAAAGTTGTACAAAATGCAGATCCCAATGATACTAAATTCGATTGATTGAACAATGTAAGATAAGGCCTCCAAACCAGAATGATAGGTGGTTCTTAAAGGCATCAAAATGGGGAAGACCACTACAGAAGTTAATGATAAGGCCTCCAAACCAGAATGATAAGTGGTTCTTAAAGGCATCAAAATGGGGAAGACCACTTTAGTATTCTCATAAAAAATCTGCTATCATAGTAAGTATGGCAACAAAAGAGCCCGGTGTAATTGAACTCCAACTAAAATAATATGATGATAAAAAAGGCCACCAAAAAAACTCACCAATCACTGTCCGAAGGGAAATGCAAAGGTAAAAGATAAAAAAGGAAAAATAAGAGACAAGCACCTATTATGAACAAGACTTTGAAGGATCGAAGGATGCTTCTCTACACGAGCATAGGGACGCGAGAGTGGCAAAAGGGACTGCATGTTGCTAGTGGGGCAAATGGGAGAACGAACTTAGGAAGAGATGTGTGCTTAAGCACAAGCGCACATTTGCAAATGTCTGCCTTGACATAGCGCCTTAGACTTGCACAGAAGCTCATAATGATGGAACTTGGGTTTGCATGCGACAAAAAGGTGTTGTATTTGATGGTGATTAATGTCCATGATTGTTGCTTTAAGTTTTCTTAATAAACAACATATTGTATGATTCACTATAAATGCGCATAACTCGAAATGTGCAGTCAATAACTAAACATTTTGCTTGTAAAGCAGTAGATCGTCATGAGTCAGTTCCATTTTCATTATTGATGCAACCTCTTGATTGTTGTTTTAAGTTCTTAATAAACAACATATTGTATGATTCACTATAAATGCGCATAACCCGAAATGTGCAGTCAATAACTAAATATTTTTCTTGTAAAGCATTAGATCATCATGAGCCAGTACCATTTTCATTATTGATGCAACCTTTGTTGATGCTTGACAGTTTTTGGTGACTGGCCCAAATGTTTGGGGCCTCTGTTCCCTTGCAATATAGTTTAAATTTTATCAAGGCTATAGGCAATAACAAGACACTTTGGCTAAATCTAGTGATTACCATATGATTTCCTTAGGGGAATGTTTTTTTGTGTGATGAAAGGTTCTCTTATGGCCTATAGTATCAAGGCTCACATTTTTTCATATCGTAAATGTAACGCCCCGTTTTCGTAATGCCAAGTAACGTTTGACACATTTGAAATGTACCCCAGAATTTTCATCTTCTGAATTTTGATTGAAACAATTTTTATTAAATTCTGTGCATGAAATCGATCTAATCGATTTAAAGCACTGTATGTAAGTTTTGAATGGATTGGGAGTTGTAAAATAATGAAATTATAAGTTTTATTAAATTAATAAATCTTTAATTAATCCTCCAACACTGCACCCCACCGACTTTTGCTTCTACCGAGCGGCCACCTGGGTACTGTAGCTCGCAATTCGAAGCCCAGGGGCCGTTTTGGTAAGCACATAGTCCTCTCTTTTGTTGTTTTAGGCTTTCATTTCTTTCCTCACCTCCCGTTTTGACATTTTGCTCGTTTCATGCTTTTCTCATTTTCGGTAGCCGTCAGATGTGCCGAACTTGTGCTGGAAGTGTCGTTATTGGTTTTGCAAGCTTCCGAAAGGGTTTTAGTTCGAGTTTAGCAAAGGGGAAGCTATGTTGGAGGTGATGGGAAGAAGATTAGCCAGTTTCAAAAGGATGATTTATGTTGAAAAACCCATTTGAGTTATGTTTTAGGCTAACAAGCTATATTTTGGGTTAAATCATGTTATGAACCTGAATACTATGAATTTCTATGATGTCTATGTTCCCAGGTTGTGTATATGAAACAGCGAGCTCGAGGTGAGCATATAGAAAGTCTTCTTGGTGTTGCTTTGTCTAGTCAATTGAAAAAATTATTTTAAATTAAGAAAAGTACTCTTCTATAGGTTTCATTTGATTTTTAGTTTGATAGTGTTGCATTTAGGAATTCTGATATATTGTAGTTGAATACTTGTAATTAATTTATGAATGCAAGTTGACTTTTATTATTCTACACATGATTTTATGCTATTTTATGATTCATATGATTATGCATATGACATTGATTGCTTGCAGACATTCATTCTGTTATGATTCATATTTATAGGATATGTAATACATGATTGCAGGAATTATGTTTTATGTAATGCCTGATGCATGCTGCTACAAAAATGTCGCAATTAATGTTAAAAGATAGATTATTAAAGGAGTGTTTGCAAGTTCATTATACAAAGATGTATTCCCGACTTCTGATATTTATACGTGGATGAAACTTTAAAAACTATTTGAAATAAGCAGTGGCATAACGTTAGAGAACCGCGGGTATCAGGGGGTTGTCGATAACTGCTATGCTGGGGGAAACTCAACCATTATTATATGTTCTTTTTTCATTTTTTTTTATGCTAACATGTTATGCTTGTTTGTAAATATGTATAGTTTCATACGAGCATGCGCGTCACTTTTTTTCTGTTTAAAATCTCATTTTAACCCTAAATTATTTCTCTGAGCTTGTTGTTGTCTTTAAGATAGGGGCAGCGAGCACCGTTGCGAGTAGGGAGGTGTGTTTTTTGTACAGCTTTTGCATGATAATTTTGGGAGAGTTTTACATATGTTTTATGTATGTATCTTTATTGCTTTGGATTTAGTTGCTCTGTATAGTTTTTATATTGTGGATTCTTTAATTTCTATTATTTCGAATATGTAATTGAAATGCAATGTATCATGTTTGTTTCACCAATCCAGTTAGATTAATTTATCACCCACTGGGTCTTCATTATGAAAGTCATAATGAGTGCTAGTGAGAGTTGGTCAAACTAAATTGCTAGCCTCTATTGCACCCCAGCCGACTCCTCAAAAGGGGAGCGAGTTGGTGTGTGACATAAGGTGATATCAGAGCATAGTTATTAGATGAAAAGAATGAGGTATGTTGGATTTAGAAGAAGTAAGAATGAGATTAAATATGAATTACTTTTTACAGAGCTATAGTTTGATGAATCTGATGTGGGTATCCCTTACGATTTATGGTGTCATGTGTGCACGATAAAATTATTATATGATAAATTGCTTGTGAATAATAAATTGTGCCAATACATACTGAGGGCTAATCTTTTAGCCCAAATACAAAGCATTAAGTTTGAGCTGACTAATATTTGGTAGAAATGAAAATCAGAACCAGACAAATGCGAACACCAAAAACTAGTGAGTTACGATATTGTGCAACTAATATCACAAGTGGTAGATAAAATAACTGTTATCGAAAGATCCACCGTCAGTATAAAGCCTAGATCTGAAACTAGAGCAGAAGTGGTTCGATGCTTAAAGATATTTTAGTCTTTCAAGTCACCTGCATTCAAAGATGTTAGTGATCCTACATTTGTTAAAGATTGGCGTCTGAAGAATGGAAAAATTCTGGATTTTATGATTTTCCAGAAAACAGAAAAGTGGTACTAGCCATATTTATGCTAGAAGATGAAGTAGAAAGGTGGTGGCAGACGCAGCATTGAGAAAAATTTTAGCTGACACCTTTCCCACAAATTTAGTAGGAAGAATTTGTTGCAGTCTTCAAAGATTGATATATTCCGCTTTCAGCCAGATTAACACTGTAAGATAAATTCTTCAATCTAACTCAAGGGTCCAAGACAGTTATGCAATATGAGGCAAAATTCACTTCTCTTTACAAATATGCAACCCACAATGTCAGCACCCTGAAAGAAAAGTGTCCTCGATTCTTGCGTGGTCTCAGAGATCATTTGAGATTGGCATTAGGTCCATTTGAAATCAGCGATTTCTGTGTGCTAGTTGATAGAGCAAGAAGAATTGAAAATGAGTTGAACTTTTCCAGGCAACAGTGACAACCTCAATCAGGCAAGCAAAATGATTTTGGCAAAAGAGAACGCTTTCAAAACAAGAAAACGAGATGAGAAGGCAAGCAGAAACAACTTCAAATGGAAAAACTAG